TGGTCTCAGCTGACTGCAACCTCCACCTCCCAGGTTCAAGCAATTCTCATACCTGAGCCTCCTGAATAGCTGGGACTACAGGTGCAGGCCACCATGTCCAGCTAATTTTTGTATTTTTAGTAGAGATGGAGATTCACCATGTTGCCCAGGCTGATCTCAAACTCCTGAACTCAGGTGATCCATCCACCTCGGCCTCCCAAAGTGCTGGGATTTCAGGCATGAACCACCACACTCAGCCCCAAGGATGTCTATTCCAATTTAACATTCACTGACCAGGGAATAACCTCCAGGAGGGTCCACAAACTTAGGAAATCCACTATGAGCTGGTTCTTGGCCAGGATCCCATTTATTTCATGATCCTTATAAACCCATGATGACACTTCAGACTCCAGTATCAGTGCCAACTTGTCTGTCCTCAAAACATGAAAGTGTTCTCCTTTCCTCAGTTTATAGTTACCTGAGTAAATAGCCATAGGAAGAGCAACTTTCTAATTTGCATGCTCACTTGGGAGTGGGCAAGAGGTCCCTTTGGAATTGCCCTCCGAAGCACTATGGCACTGCTAACACACAAAGGGAAGGAATGGGGCCAGAGGGTGTGCAGTGGTTGGCCAAGAGCCCTTCCTGGGGAGATAGCAGAAGTCAGGCCTTATGTGGGCTAAGGCACCAGCCCCCTGAACACATGCTTCATTTTCCCATCAGACTTAGAGAATTTATAGATATAAGAATTTCAAGATGGTGACTGCAGAGTGTTAAACTTCAGGTACAGAGACATTCTAAGCACCAGAATCCCTGAGACCTATATTGTTTAAGTCTCTCAGTCCCACAGATTTTTCAGGGAATTGTTATACTTTGGTGTTGCAGGTTCCTTTCCCCTAAGTACCTGGCCTCCTTCAATTAATGGGTTTAGGATGTGAAGTAGACTTAATTATAGAAATTGGACATGGGATCTTGATTTTTTTATTGGGATGACTGCCCTCAGAATCCTGATCTTTTAACTTTCATTTATTTTGATGTTACAGATAGAGTAGTGCTCTTACAGGCTGCTCATCTGTTTTGCCGCCAGTGACATCGTGTTCTATTAGCTGTCTCCATAAATCTGTGAGTCATATTTGATTGCCAGTCTGATCTTGGTGATCCTTATGGTAACTGTATCCACCGGAAGTACTGTGACTTGGTCTCCTTTCAGGGTCCTGTCATGGCTATTGTATTGCTATCAGTGAGCCTAGGTTTTTTTGTTTGTTTGTTTGTTTGTTTTTGTTTTTTTTTTAGATAGTCTCACTTTGTTGCTCACGCTACAGGGCAGTGGCCAGATCTCGGCTCACTGTAACCTCTGCCTCCCAGTTTCAAGTGATTCTCATGCCTCAGCCACCCAGATGGCTGGGATTGCAGTGGTGCACCACCACACCTGGTTAATTTTTGTATTTTCAGTAAGAGACAGGGTTTCACCATGATGGCCAGGCTGGTCTTGAATTCTTGGCCTTATGTAATCTGCCTGCTTTGGCCTCCCAAAATGCTGGGATTACAGGTGTGAGCCACCACGCCTGGCCTGAGCTTAGTTTTATAACAACCTCTCCTTTGAAGGAAAACTAGTGAACTTCTTAATGATGCCAGTACCCCCTCACCAGCACATTTCTTATGGCACCCTCCCATCCTGTCCAAGGAACATAATCATTTGATGGGTTTTATGCCCAGATGTAATGCATCCTTGTCAGCATGCCTACTTCACTAAGCCTTTTAATCCCTTCCTCCTCTGTCTGCCACTGCAGTCTTATATTGCAACTTTGCTAGCATGGGACATTGTATACTTCCAGCATCTAGAAACCATCCCAGTAGTAAGTTCACACCCTATGCTGAGTTTTTTGGCAGGGTGTTGAATCCTGTATCTCTAAAGAGTGGTTGATAACCTCTCCCTTCTCAATCTTATATTCTGTTCAAGTGCTTATTTGTTCAAGGACCCTCAGAATTTGGTCACATGTGTACTTCTCTGGATGTTTCCAGTACATGCTGGATAGGTCTTGCAGTTACAGTTCCTTTCTGACCTTCCAGGCCCAGCACATCTGTATTGGTTTGTGCTGTGACCCACTTACTGCAAGTTAAAGGCCTGCTAAGAGGAGTGGTCAATAGATAGGAGATAATGGTGGCAGATCCTGAGGGGCATTGTTTTTTGGGGAGTAGCATGAGGAGGCTTCTGCATTATCATTCTGCAAGAGAAGGGCACTAGTTCTTAAAGGGTGAGTGGGCTACTTTTGCAATCTTGGGGTTAAACCAGGCGTCCCCAAACTGCGGCCCTCTGAGGCCATTTATCCGGCCCCCCACCGCACTTCAGGAAGGGGCACCTCTTTCATTGGTGGTCAGTGAGAGGAGCACAGTATGTGGCGGCCCTCCAACGGTCTGAGGGACAGTGAACTGGCCCCTGTGTAAAAAGTTTGGGTACACCTGGAAACAGTATCTGGGCATTTGAGATTTTTGTAGGGGCATCAACTCAGATGTCTTCATCCCCTGTATTAGGGGAATGAAATTGATATAACATACCTCCCTTGGCTGAATCAACTTTCTTTGGAGTTGAGCTACTATGATAATTACCTCCTGGGCCTAGTCTTCAACTGTTTTGTCCTCCTGCTGCAAGAGGAAAGAGCCTGCTTATAAGTTACCAATGAGGCCCTGTGACATTCACCATTGGCTGTTAGTCTCTCTCTTTTTCTAGAGCACCAATTGAATTTAGCAATAGCCATTCAACCCCATTGTCATTATAGTTTTCTCCTTACTGTTTGTCTTAGTCCATTTTGTGTTACTGTAACAATACCATAGACTGAGTAATTTATAAAGAAAATAAATGTATTTCTTACAGTTTTAAAGGCTGAGAAGTCTAAGGTCTATGGGTCCTCCATGTGGCAAGCACCTTCTTGCAGTGTCATCCAATGGCAGAAGGGCAAGAGAGCTCAAGAGAACAAGGGGGTGCTGAACTTGCTTTTATAACAAGCCCACTGTCCTGATAATTTAATCCACTCATGAGGGCAGAGCCAAATCACTTGTTAATGGTCCCATCTCCCTCTCCCCCACCGCCCCCCAGGGGTTTGGTCTGTCACCCAGGCTGGAGTGCAGAAGTGTAATCATGGCTCACTGTGGCCTCAAACTTCTGGGCTCAAGAGATTCTCCTGCCTCATGCTCCCAAGTAGCTGGAAATATAGGCATGTGTCACCACTCCTGGCTTCTTTAAAAAAAATTTTGTAGGGATGGGATCTTGTTATGTTGCCCAGGCTGATCTCAAATTCCTGGGCTCAAACAATCCTCCTGCCTCAGCAGTCCCATCTCTTAATACCATCACCATGGCAATTCAATTTCAGCACAAGACTGGGCATGATGGCTCACACCTGTAATCCCAGCACATTTGGAGGCCAAGGCAGGAGGACTGCTTGAGCTCAGGAATTCAAGACCAGCTGGACAACATTGTGAGACATCATCCCTACAACAAATTTTTAAAAATTAGCCAGCTGGGCTGGGCGTGGTAGCTCACGCCTGTAATCCCAGCACTTTGGGAGGCCGAGGTGGGTGGATCATGAGGTCAAGAGATCGAGACCATCCTGGTCAACATGGTGAAACCCCGTCTCTACTAAAAATACAAAAAATTAGCTGGGCATGGTGGCGCGTGCCTGTAATCCCAGCTACTCAGGAGGCTGAGGCAGGAGAATTGCCTGAACCCAGGAGACGGAGGTTGTGGTGAGCCGAGATCGTGCCATTGCACTCCAGCCTGGGTAACAAGAGGGAAACTCTGTCTCAAAAAAAAAAAAATTAGCCAGCTGTGTTTTCATGCACCTGTAGTCCCAGCTTCTCAGGAGATTGAGGTTAGAGGATCACTTGACTCCAGGAGGTTGAGACTGCAGGGAGCCATGATTGGGCCACTGTGCTCCAGCTTGGGTGGCAGAGTGAGACCCTGTCTGGAAAAAAAAAAAATTCAACGTGAGTTTTGGAGGGACATTCAAACCATAGCACTTTTCAAGTACCTGACACATCTAATCAACTAGATAGATAGCACTGTTCATCACTAGTGGAAGTTTAAGAACTAGACCAGGACCTTATGCCAGAAATTATCCATGTTACACCTACCACCAGCAGTAGGATCCTCATTGCTTTCTAGTATGCTAGTGATTCAACTCTGTAACCGCATCTTACTCCCAAGTTTCTCTAGTCATTCCTGGCACCAACTGTCAGTATGTTGTGATCTATAAAAGCAGGCTCTGAATTGGAGTTTAGTATTTAGACAGTTAGGGAATGACGTTAGGATAAAAACCATGGGAGGAGTAGGAAGCTGGATAGGGCAGATTTGACATTTGTCTTGATTGGGAGTGCAGGAGGTTGTGTATTATACTTAGTCAACTTTCTTTTGAAATATTTTTTGTTTTATTTTTATACTTATAAACTTACAGCTTACTGAACCATTCTCCTGTGTCTAAAATAACTTCCATTTTCCTTAGGCAAAAACCAATTCCCTTCCTCAGAGATGTGCTCCATGCCCTTTCTCAGGTGTTGTATTTTTCTTACAAAAAAACTTACCTTTTTTCTTATACTCTAGTAAATTCAAAATGAGGATTGGAAAGGGAACTTATTTGAGGAAACTGAGAATAATATATTTTAAGACAAAAATTAGTTTTAAAATATTTAAATGTTTTATGATAGTTTAGTATTGTGCATCTGTATCTCAATTCCCTTAAAATAACTCCCAGCCCAGTGCAGTGGCAGGTACTTGTAATCCTCAGAGGCTGACATGGGAGGATCACTTAAGCCCAAGAGTTAAAATCCACTCTGGGCAACAAAGGGAGATCCTGTCTCAAAAAAAAAAAAAAAAAAAACCCGTCATTTAATAATTTGTGCATTTCTATAATGATCCACTTTTAAACTATAATCGATGTTACTGAATTAGGTTTTGGTTTTTTTTTTTTTTAAGTATAAAAGGTGATGGACTACATGTATTAAGTGTATCATTTATCTTTTTCTCTTTTTAGAAGCAATATCTCACCACCCTAAACTGGTTAATAGTGGCATGGAAGATCCATTTGGTGAGTATCACCTGCATTTTCCTTAGTAAATGGCATTTCTGTTCTTTCCTCACCTCCATTAAAGCTTTGAGAGTAAATTGTTTTTTTTTTTCATGTTCAGTATGCTACTCTCTAGAATAATGCGTCTCAAACTTTTTGCTTCTATAAGGATTCGGTTGCATACTTAATGACAGTTAGAGTGCCAAAAGCCTTTCGTTTATATGACATCTATTAATATTTACTGCATTATAAATTAAACCTCAGAAACTTTAAAAATATTAATTTGTTTAAAAATGACATTGACAAACTCATTACATATTGCATAAATAACATTTTTAATGAAGAATAATCAAGAATCTTAAAAATTGCCGGTAAAAACAAAAGAAAGAAAAAAATGTAAAAAAAGAAAAAAAGAAAAATCAAGAATCATTTGACAAGTTAAAATGAGAAGTTTAAATTTCTTTATCTTGGCTGGCACAGTGGCTCAAGCCTGTAATCCAAGCACTTTGGGAGCTGAGGCAGGTGGATCACTTGAGGCGAGGAGTTCGAGACCAGCCTGGCAAACATGACAAAACCCCACCTCTACTAAAAATACAAAAATTTAGCTGGGCTTGGTGGCACACACCTGTAATCCCAGTTACTCCAGAGGCTAAGGCATGAAAAATGCTTGAACTCCGGAAGCAGAAGTTGCAGTGAGCTGAGATCACACCCTGCACTCCAGCCTGGGCAACAGAGCAAGACTGTCTCAAAAAAAGAAAAATAATTAAATAAATTTTTCTATTTTGATCACTCAGTAACTTACATATACATCTCTTTGGTTGGAAATGTAGTTCTGCTAATATTTCAGAAACAAATGTTCTTTGTAGTGCTTCATTAGTACATGGCCAATGAAAGATAATATGGAAGTAATCGGGTGCGGTGGCCCACGTCTGTAATCCCAGCACTTTGGGAGGCCAGCAGGCGGATCACTTGAGGTCAGGAATTTGAGACCAGCCTGGCCGACATGGTGAAACCCCTTCTCTACTAAAAATACAAAAATTAGCTGGGCGTGGTGGTAGGCACCTGTAATCCCAGCTACTTGGGAGGCTGAGGCAGGAGAATTGCTTGAACCCAAGAGAATTGCTTGAACCCAAGGCAGAGGTTGCACTGAGCCAGGATCATACCACTACACTCCAGCCTCAGTGACACAGAGAGACTCCATCTCAAAAAGAAAAAAAAAGAGATAACGTGGAAGTAATCATAATAGCAGGCATGTGTAATACATATATGTATGTGTAATACATATATGTATGTGTAGTGTGTGTGTGTGTGTGTGTGTACATATATATTTTTTTTTGTTTTTTTTTTTTGAGATGGTGTCTCACTCTGTCACCCACGCTGGAGTGTAGTGACACAATCACAGCTCACTGCAGCCTTGACCTCCTGGGCTCAGGCAATCCTCTCAACTGAGCCTCCTGAATAGCAGGGACTACAGGTATGCACCCCTATGTGTGACTTATTTTTTTTTTTTTTTTTTTGGTAGAGAGGACTTTGCCTTGTTGAGCAGGGCTGGTCTGGAATTCCTAGGCTTAAGAGATCCACCTGCTTTGGTCTCCCAAAGTGTTGGAATTACAGGCATGAGCCACTGCACCCAGCCTAATATTTCTAGATAAGTTTTGCCTGCGTATATTTCATCTAGCAACATGAGTAAGGGCATATAAGTCTAGATATAAAAAGGTTTAATATCTGCCTTTTTGGCGATAAAGTCATTTACTGTGTGTTGAAATCTACCCACCCCCCCGCCTTTTTTTTTAAGACTGGGTGTCACTATGTCACCCAGGCTGGAGTTCAATGGCTATTCACAGACACAATCATAGCATGCTACATCCTTGAAGTCCTGGGCTCAAGCAATCTTCCTGCTTTAGCCTCCCACATAGCTAGGACTACAGGCATACTTCAAAGAATTATTTACGATATTCTAGAAATAAAAGTAGTGAGGGAATTATTTATTTGTTTATTTATTTATTTATTTATTTATTTGAGACAGTCTTACTCTGTTGCCAGGCATCAGGCTGGAGTGCAGTGGCATGATCTTGGCTGACTGCAACCTCCATCTCCCAGGTTCAAGCAATTCTCCTGCCTCAGCCTCCCAAGTAGCTGGGACTACAGGTGCTCACCACCACACCCAGCTAATTTTTGTATTTTAGTAGAGATGGGGTTTCACCATGTTGGCAAGAATGGTCTCAATCTCTTGATCTGCCCACCTTGGCCTCCTAAAGTACTGGGATTACAGGCATGAGCCACTGTGCCTGGACATAGTGAGAGATTTTTAAGAATAAAGTACCAGAGAGATAGACCTAAGGTCTCTCGGACCTTTTCTGCATGTACAGATGCTTACACATTTCATTATATAATATTTAAATATCATGTTTGTTAATATCATATTGGTCTCATTGAAAAAAATGTTAAATGTTGGGAAGCTGTCAGGCTCACTCTGGATATAAATTTTCCAAAATTTTAATTTCACTTGAAAGCTTGAATTCTATCACTGGCAACAAATACTGTCAATTTTCTTTATTAGTGACAGGCTTACTTTTGAGAAAATGCATGTCAAATAGCTAACCTTGATTAACATAGTTTGTTTTTCAGTCTTTCAAGTAAAAATAGTATTCCAGGAAGAAAACTATCTAGTTCAGTTTGCAACTCAATCACACAAATGCCTTTCCTGGAGTTAACCATCATACTTAGTATGCAAATGTGCTTTATACATAACTTCTGTTTCATCATACACAGTAATAAAAAGATATGTACTAAAGGGATGATATTTATTAAAACTAATATTTTTATTGCTTTATCAAGGATATTCTTAAAATTGAATTTATTTTTAACCATAACTGTGCAGTTGTGAAGAATACAATGATTTCTGCTACAGCTTGGCGCTGCTGCCTTGATTTGTCTTAAGGTGCTAACACTTTTGCTCACCATTGCTTTTGCTCTGTCAGTGCAAGTATCAACACAGTGGAAAAGGAAAATAATTTTTTGCATTCTTATGTATTCAGTTTTACTTCTTGGACTCCTGAAAGGATCTCAGGGATCCCCAGAGTTCAACGGATTATACTTGCTTCATTTTCCTGAGGTTCTTAGAGTTCCATCTATGGAAGTCATGAGTTAAGACTTAATCCTGGCAACTGTATTGGGCAAGGTTGGATCTTGGACATTTGACAGAAATATGGTCAGAGGGAGTGAGTAGCTCTGTGGTTTCTCCTAAGCAGGAGTACCCCTCACTGCTACCCCCGGGCTGTAGGAGGTGAGCAGTGGGCCAGTGAGCATTATAGTCTGAGCTCCACCTCCTGTCAGATCAGCAATTAAGTTTCTGTATACCCTCCCTTTGTAAATATTTCAACATGACTTGTTGAAAATATTTTTAGGCGTGTGTTTGATTATTTAATGAGATGTATCAGTTTGCATTCTGAATTTAAAGCTAGTTGCAAAGGCTTTATTCATATGCATAGCATTCTGGAAACAGATTTGTAAGATAATACCTCCTTTTTATTAGAATTTGCATCATATGGGAAATATGAGAAGCACTTTGTTAAGATAGCAAATAGAATTTATTATTTCCTAAACAAAGTCAATTATTTTTTTCTTATTCTGTATCTGAATTTATAAATTATTATGATGATATTATAAAGGAGTTTTTTTCCTGGCTGTTTAAGAACATTTGCCAAGGAGCCATACTCAAGACATAATGCACTTCAAAGTTCATGGGAAAACATTTCGTGATGTTATGTTGTTACCAGTTGAAGCTCAAAATATGCCAATAACATAGTCCTTTCCTCCCTCCTCTTTAAGAATGAAGAACAAAATACAAGCTTAATTAGTTTTGAGATCCTCAGGGTGTAGGAGATAAATTCCTCCAGTATTACATGATGCCAGAAATTATGCTAGTTCCATTTTTTCGCCTAGTAATCTTCATGAGATTATTATAAATACATATTAAATATCCTCTATTGTCTTATTTCCTAAAGGAGTATAAACTTATGGAGGTCAATGTCTTTTTACTGTTAAATCCTACCCACTGCCCAGTAGTAAACACACAATACACATCTGTATGTGTTTCTTCTGGTGGTTTTAATTTTTCTGCATAAGATATAATTACCAATCTTAAGGAAAATAGAATACACAGACACCAGATTCTGTGCACTTGAATAACAGATGTTATGTAATTATTTCTTCTGTCAGTAGAAAAATATGAGCCATAGTTGTAGTAGTAGTACAAGCCTGGAAAGGTAGTAATGCTGACATTCTGGACTATTGCCTATATCCTCTCACCACTTTTCATCATTTCTGACTACTCCTTACTCCTGGAAAATCATAGCAAGTTGAATAAGTTGACTAAATGCATAGAATTTATCTAGTCATGGCCGGGCGCGGTGGCTCACGCCTGTAATCCTAGCACTTTGGGAGGCTGAGGCGGGTGGATCACGAGGTCAAGAGATCGAGACCATTCTGGTCAACATGGTGAAACCCCATCTCTACTAAAAATACAAAAAATTAGCTGGGCATGGTGGCGCATGCCTGTAATCCCAGCTACTCAGGAGGCTGAGGCAGGAGAATTGCCTGAACCCAGGAGGCAGAGGTTGCGGTGAGCCGAGATTGCGCCATTGCACTCCAGCCTGGGTAACAAGAGCGAAACTCCGTCTCAAAAAAAAAAAAAAAAAAAAGAATTTATCTAGTCATCTGAATTTATTGCTGCAAACTGAGCCCTGAATTTATTGCTGCAAACTGAGCCCTTAGCAGTGTGTCATGTACCTTGCATAAGCAATGATATATATTTCCTTTCCTTTTTTTTTTTTTTTTTTGAGCTGGAGTTTTGCTGCTGTTGTCCAGGCTGGAGTGCATGCAATGGTGCCATCTCAGCTCACTGCAACTTCTGCCTCTGGGACTCATGATTCTCCTGCCTCAGCTTCCCTGGTAGCTGGGATTATAGGTGCCTGTTACCATGCCCAGCTAATTTTTTGTATTTTTAGTTGAGACAGGGT